GAATATAAAATGAAACTAGAAAAACGTGACGTAAATCACTTGAATGGCTAAAGAGCTATTTACGTGTCTTTTTCGACCGGACTTTTGAAACACCCTGTATTGAAATAAACTGAAGAAATTTAAGCAAAATTTGCACACATGAGTTTTTGAAGTTTGAAAAAAAGACTTTAGGGAATATTGAGTTTGAAAGTGCTATTTTGTAGGAGTGTTTAAGAAGTTTATATTTATGAGAAACAATTTTGATGTGTTCTCTATCATTCATAAAAACAACGTGTTCATTCGATGAAACCATAATTGAGATGTACAATTTTCTTTTTGGTAAATGACTTTTCGGACACCACGATTTCGATGTCCCGCAAATCGGTAATGAATCATCCATTAAATGCAATATATTGAAACATGATTAGTTGCTTTTTTTTCAATTTGTTCGACAGAGATTTTATACTTGATTTTGCCCTTCATTATATCAATAATTTCTGCAATTTTGGGCACCTGAATTTGACTTCCTCTGTCATTGTTATAGTCAGAATTTCTTATCACTGATATAAATTAGCGAATATTTTAAAGTGCTCACATTATTTTACATGAATAAAATATGTAATAAAAACAAAAAAATACTAATATGGCATGAAATTCTCTATAATTAAACGAGAACACACTCAATAAACAGCGAACAAAAAAGTGTTTATATATAGAAATGGATATTCCGAGATGAGTTTTTCTGGGAAAGCTTTCTTTCAAGTTCGCTTTTGTTCATAAATAAAAAATTTGAAAGAGACAAAAAAATAATAAAAATTCGAACGAATACAAGGGAGTGAAATTTTTCATTTTTACATTAATCGAATATTGAAACACTCATTTTACAACTAAAGTTAGGCAAAAAAATTCTAATTGAAAAAACACATGATCTGAAAATAAATATTCATGCCACACTAGTGAATCTATGGTTAAACTACGTCTTTCTTTTGATTTCGAATCTATATGATTATGGAAAAAAAATTTTTTTTGAATTAATTATATATGATTTTCAATTATACAAACATTGGGATATTTCTCTAATTAACTGACTATTTGCTATTAATTACTTGAATCAACGATTAAACATGATAGAAGTGTAAAATCTAAAGTATTCCATTGACTACATATACAGTCAAAGACAAAAGTTTAGGCGAAAATGTATTTTTGATTTTTTCTATAATAAAAAACATCTAACTAAAATCCAAATAGTGATTCGGATAGCCAATGAAGAGCTCTATCAAATGCATCCTATAACAAAATTTCATAGATGATTTAAGGTAGCAAGGTTTCTAGAAAACCCAAAACCCATATTTTTCAGGTCTCAGAAGACTTTGTAATAATTCGTTTCTAACAGTACAAACTTAAACAACACAAAATTCTGAAGAAAATGAAGGGTCGCCGCCTTTCCTTTCAAAAGTTATAAGCATCACAAAAATCGAAAAAATACGATTTTTTGGCGGTTTCTTGATAAATTTCACTTTTTTCCAATTTATTTAATACTTATAACTTTTGAAAGGAAAGTCGTAGGAAAGGCGGCGACCCTTCATTTTCTTCAGAATTCTGTGTTGTTTAAGTTGGTACTGTTAGAAATGAATTATTGTAACGTCTTCTGAGACCTGAAAAATACGCTTTTGGGTTTTCTAGAAACCTTGCTGCCTTAAATCATCTATGAAATTTTGTTATAGGATGCATTTGATAGAGCTCTTCATTGGCTATCCGAATCACTATTTGGATTTCAGTTAGATGCTTGTTGTTATAGAAAAAATCAAAAATACATTTTCGCTTAAGCTTTTGTCTCTGACTGTAGTTCAAGATATTTCGTTTCGACTTTGGTTCCTAATCCAACGCTGACTTGGAGCATCTAAAACAAAATGAAGTATTAGTAAAAGATCAGATGGTGTTTTTGCAAATTGGCGATTTCATCAAGTAGAGATTAGGCAAAGAGCAAAGTACACGTGAAATTTTTCTGATCTTCTCAAAGTTATTGATAGATTCTCTGTAGATTTTTAAATAAATTTTTACCTTTTTCCGGTCTCCCACTTTTTTCAGCCCAAAATCTGTTTTAAATAAGTTTCATAAAGTTGTTAATCTAATGATAATCTCAAAACCAATGCAGTCTGGAGTATCTGCACTGTAAATCATCAAAAATTTAGAGAATTCATGAAAACCAAGCATGCACGAATTGAATTATGGAAACAAAGTCGAAACAAATTACCTTGAACTATATATGATGTCAAGAAAATACTTGAGATGTGTCACTTCTATCACACCATAGAACTCAAAAAATCGATATCTACTAAGACTACGCATGAACTACATCTCGTAAATACATCATAGTGCTCCGATGTACTTTTGAGGTTTTACGTATATGCAGTAATTGACATCGATATGAAGATAGACTCTATAAACAGATAAATACCAAAAAAAAGAAAGCAAGGTTAAATTTTTTTTTCTCATTCATTCTTTCCTTCTTTCTGCTTGATTGCATCTCATCAAGACCTTTCTCTCTCTCCCTCTGTCTCTCTATTTTGTGACGAGTTGGTAAGTTAAAGTGAGTCAGACTGCGTTAAAATCAATCTAATAATGCGCATTGAATTCCAGAATCGTTTGTTTCCTACGTTTAAAAAATCACTTCTCACGGATTTCTGTCATTTATATCTCACAGGAACACTTTATAATTTCTCATGATATACACAAAGGTGAAAGTCGATAGTAAGATATGCGATGACGAAAGTGTTCAACGAGTTTTTCGGAAGTTTTCATAGTACTGAAAATATTAACATTAAAAAATTAAAGATAATGATAGTAGAGAATAGATGATAGCTAAGGAATGGAAGAAAGATATGTCAAAAACCAAAACTTTCGATTGAGAAATTTCAAAACTCTGATACTTGCTTTTTAGTTGATATTTGTTTAGAAATTTCTTTTTCATTTCGATCAGTGAATAGACCAAAACGTATATAATTGAAGTTCACGATAAGAGCGACAGAACTGGATTTAATGCGATAGAGTGTGAATACGACGTGCGAAAAAACGTTTTGGAAATAATCATAGAAACGATTATTGTTTTTATATAAAATATCATTTTTTTTTCAATAATCAAAATTGGAGTCTCGCACCGCATTTCATCATCAAGTGAAACCTGAATGCCGTCTAGTTTATAAAACCTTTTTATTTTATGAATAATACTAGGCAATAGACACAATACGACTTTTCTTGTCTTATTTCAATACAGTTTCACTCATATTGTTGGTTTTCAATAGTAATTAAAACAAATTCAAGAATATCTATCTATGTTTGCTTTTCTAGAAAACTTCAATATAGCATATTTAAATGATGGATGAAAATGTAAGGGTGCATCAACTTACGACATCTATAGAATTTTTATGAAATCATTTTTATATTTCCTAATGATGATTAAATTAGAATAAAAATAATTTTTTTTACTCTTTTTAATGATTTCAATTATAGTTTTATAATTATATTTATTTACAATTATTCTTCAGAGGATTGATGTCAGTGAATGGACCGATGGCTAATAGGAGAAAAAACCATTCGCATAATAACGAAACTACTTCTTATTTATTTATTTTTTTTTTATAGTTTGCGTTATCTGTATTTGATCTTATTGATTAGTATATTTAATAACAAACGAATTTGACAATGTGAAAAATTCTTCATTTTAATTTTAGATTCTTGTCTTTCCAACAGAATCCAAGAGAAAAACATTAAAATAACAATGGATTCAATTGATCGTGGTTCCGTCAAAGATGTTGATCAACAACAATTTACTGTTGCATTTGCTGAATTTCTTAAAAAAACTGGCAAACTTGAAGTACCATCTGGTAATTGGGTAGATATTGTTAAATTAGGCATTCACAAAGAAATGGCTCCCGTTGATCCAGACTGGTATTATACACGATGTGCATCAATTGCACGATTTCTTTATTTACGTCGAACAGGTGTTGGTGCTTTTACACGTGTCTATGGTGGTCGTAAACGTAAAGGTGTACGTCCATCTCATTTTCAACGTGGTTCACGTAGTGTTGTACGTAAATGTATACAATCGCTTGAAAAAGCAAAACTTGTTGAAAAACATGCATCAGGTGGTCGTGTACTTTCACAATTCGGACGAAAAAATATGGATACAATTGCAAGACAAGTAGCCGAAAAACTTGCTCGACAACAACAACAACAATAAATTCTTACAATTGATTATCATTGAAAAACAAAATGATACATTAAAATAAGAAAACAAAAAAAAAAAGATCGTTTCTCTTTTTAATTTGCTTTTTGTTTTGTTATTGTAATATCCGAAAACAAAATAAAAACTGTCTTGTTATATTAAATAAATAAAAACAAAGAGAAAGTGATAGAAAAAAGTCCAATTTCCTTATCGGTCTTTGTAGATTAGACGTTTATTTTCCTTGTTTTCTTTTGCTTGTACATAGTTTTATTACGGAGAATAATTCTGCCACCAACAGTTACAACACTTCAACAGATATAATTATTCTAACACTGGTAGGTAAGATAAATAGTGAATTGAGTATTGAATCACTTCAATCTTATTTCATATTGTGTTTTTTTTTTATATATATTTATGATACTGAAAGAGATCATAAAAGAAAAAAATGAAAAGTAAAGAACAAAAAATGAATATATCTATAGTTAGTATGTACAAATGTCTATAAACTCTACGCCTTCACTCATTAGGTGCGAAAAAACACCGACAGACAGAAAAAAAAAAAGAATGCATAAGTCGTTTGTAAATACTTTTTTCTCTTTTCATCTATAATTTTTTCAACGCCCACATTCATCTGTATACACGACCATTGATTCCATCATTACTAATAGAAAAAACAAGATACATTGTAACCCTTGTTTCTTTTTCGTCTATCATTTTTTACTCATACTTTTGTTGTTTCAATCAGCAAACGAAAAATAATCGATTCATCTATTTTTGTAAAAACATCATTAACATAATGATGTATTTGAATAAAATCTACTCAAGTCCAACTGATACTATAAGTGGAAAACCATCATCCACAAATACATGTGATATCGAACTTCAACATTTTCAACCAAGACGAAGACAAACAATAAATCAGTATCATGACAATGATAATGATAAGGATCAACATTATCCATCTTTTAATCATTCAATACCAGAAAAAAAAGAAGAATTTTATTCATCCAAACCTGATCGATTATCATCGATAAATAATAATGTCGAAATTTCAAGAAATATTTCGACTATATTATCTCCTGATCCTATTCTAATAACTTCATTACCTGTAGTAGTCGAGGAGAAGTAAGACACATTTTTTCTATAAATGATAGAAATCAGATATCATCTATGATCATTATATTTGTTATTGAAATTGTGATTTTATATTAGAATAATTGATCTTTTTATTAGTGTATATAGTAAAATATTTGTTTTTTCTTCTAAAAATATGTCTAATTGATAGGGTCAAATTAAGATTCTTTTTTCTGTTGTTTATTTCTTTACGTCAAAAACAAAAGTATGGTGTCAGATTGAATAGAACAAAAAGAAATAGATAGCGGAAAGAGCAATAATATTAGATTCTTTAGACTCCTTATGTGTTTTACAGTCATACGAAAAAAAAGTACGATGAATCATGAACACCTCTATTCACAAATACTGACTAATTATTAGTTAATCTGCATTTTTTCGTCTATATTATACTATTTTTTTTTGTAGCATTTGCATTTTAAAGAGAAACATATTATGAGTGAATAACAGTTGAGAGTAAAGCATATCACATAGACCATTAGTGTAGACGTGACTGAATTTCTTGTCGATATTGGACATTACTGCTAATATTCAGAATTTTCGATGACGTGATAAGACTAAATCAGACTGCAAATTATTGAAATTTTGACATTATTTTTTTGTTTTTTTTGTATTCGAATGTGTCAAAGTTTGAAGTCGAAAGAAAAAATGATTTGATAATTATTATTCAAAAATTGATTTGTTGTCTTGTTTTTGTTTCTATCTGTAGGAATTTATCATTAATGATTCGGTCAATCTTATCTGGTCTTCTGCTTATCCTTCTTCCTATTGCATTGCTCACCGGTAAAAACAAAATCTTCTATGTCTTTTTTTTTATATTAATCAATGACTTTACCAAAACAAATTTTAGGAACAATTTTCCGATTCTCTTTTATTTCATTTATCTATGGATTTCTTCTACTTATTCTTCCATGGTTGGGTGCAATAAGCAAAAGAAATATTCGAAGTAAAAAATACAAAAAAATGCTCGATTTTCTAAAAATTTGAAAATTATATTTTAGCTCGTTTTCGTTTATTAATTCTTCTTACTGGTCTTATTAGTCTTCTCGCTATTACTTCTCAAATAATCTTTCAATCAATTCTTCTTGCAAACAAACCATATGGTCATACGCTTGATAATTGTATGTACAAGACTTATTGGAAAATAAAATAAACTTTTCATTAACTACTTTATGATTAGGTACTAAAACTACTGAAATTCTTCGATATTTTGGTTTAGAACGGTATGTTTCATGATAAATATATTTATTAAAATATAAGCTATTGCTTTTTTTTTTTCTTACTCTAATTTAAGTTTGGATAATTCCAATGCTATTCGAGTCTTACGATTGATATTTCCTGATATTGTCATATTTGCTATATCGACAATCTGTTTTTTTGTTATTCGACGTACATTAATAGTTTTAAGACGACGTCAAAGTGAAATTCAATCTTCCATAACATCAAATGCCATAAATTTATCACCATCAATTGATAGTAGTACTAGTACAACACATAAAAGAATTTCTTGGCCACGATTATTATCAATAGTAAGACGTATACGTCTATTTATTCAATTTATTATTGTCGGTCTTGCTGCATTTGTTTATCCAAGTATAATTAATTCCATATATTTTATTTTCTTCCTTATTATCGCTTTTGTATGGTCATTATCTATTAAATTTGGTAAAAAATTTGCATTCGTTCGTGCTTCATTAGTCATTTATACGGGCATGCATTTACTTACTCTATACCTATATCAATTTACATTTTTTCAAGAAGCTTTACCACCATTATCATTATGGAGCAAGTAAGAAATTTAGTTTGAATATATTAATTCACGCGTGTGTTTCTGTGTATGTTTTTTTTTTGTTTTTCTTTTCACAGTATCACGGGCCTAACAGCAATTGTAACAAATAATTGTACGAGTAGTGAACCATATGTTGCAACTAATCTTACATGGAATGATTATGTTAATCCATGTGCAATTTTGCTTCTTTACTTTTATTTTGCTTTTGAAACGAATCGAGCATTTTTTCAACGAGTAACTTAAATTAATCATTTATGTTTTATGAAATGATTTCTATTCTTTAGAAAGTACGATCAAATACAACAACAATACAATCTCTTGAACAACAGGTAAGAAAGCGATTGAGAATCGTGAAAACAAAATCATCGTTTCATGTTTGATCCTTTATTATCTATCTCATATTGTGTGTGTGTGTAAATTAACTAGATAAATTCTCGTCGCAGTGTCGATAAACAGGTTTGCTCTGATTCTTTTTGTTTTTGCATTTCTATATAAACTGCGTGCCTGCTCTTCTACACTTCTGTATAAATAGACTTCTATTTATTAAAACAAAAAGAAAGTAACATACAAGAAAGGTTGGTGAAAATACAGCACAGAATATTAATCATGGAATGTTCAGCACAAAAATTGCTCAGCACAGGTGTTTCAAGCACTCAGGAGAATCTGCATGTATAGATAAGATTTATTCAGTGTGTAGAAATCATGAAACAATAAAAAAAAAAAATTAGAATAAAATATTATAAACTATTGATTGATGTGAATCCGTGAGTTCGACTAGCAAGTAGCGATAAAACTTAATGAATCTTCTGGAAAAATATTTTTCGATTAGTTCTTTTTCTACAATCATTCAGCATTGATTTTTCATCTATTAGTGTAGATCGCATTTTCTTTATCAATTAATTTTCATTAGAAATTTATACAATGTTGTACATACATTTTGAAGTACTGATCCAATGTGACAACGATCAACTGTTATGGTACTGTTTGTTTTCATAGAGAATTGACTAAACCCCCTCCCATATTAGAAGCCCCCCGGGGCTTCTATTAGGCCTTGCAAACTTTGGCTGGATTTTGCTGGGAAAAATTGAAAATTTTGCTGGATAAATCCTTTAAAGGGGGCTTCTAATAGGGGGAGGGCTTCTAATATGGGAGGGGCTTCTATTACGGGGAGGGGTTTAGTTCGATTGTATATATTGATAACTAATTAAGTTAATATTCAATTACATCGTCAAAGATTACAGTTATTATTCATATAAGATTCACATATTGTGATGAGTTTTCTTGGTGCTGAACTTTTCATTGCTCTATCATGATTAATTTAGGTTTTCCTCATATTTGATTTTGCTGTGCTGAAAATCTTATGTGAACAATTCCGATTCCCATGCAAATAGATTTGCTTTTTTTTTTCTTTTCAATTATTTATTTATTTATTTTTCTTGATGCCGAAGCTTCGTTTATCCTTATCCTATTCATTTTTATCATTTCTATTTGTATGTATTATAGAGTTTGGTTGTCACTGTCGAAAGACCAGATATATTAGAGCAAAATTCTCGAAGTTTACAACGTCGATGGAGTTTCGAACAATCTGGTGATCAAACATGGCAAGGACGAATAATTTTTGTCATATTATCATTACTTCGTGTATTAGAACGACAAAGTTATTTATTATCCTTGATTGCTATGCTGGTAAAAAAAAAATAGCTAAATTCTAATACATTTTAATATTCTAATAAATGTTTTTTATTTAGGCGTGGAGTATAACATATCATAGTTTATTAACATTAATATTTCTTCTTTGGGCATGTCTTCTTTGGGTGTTACCCAATTCTCGAAAATGGTGTTTAAGAATGAGTCCATTTTTTACAATTTATGGTGGAATATTATTAATATTACAATATATAACTGGTTTTACAATAAGTTTTGATCAATTTAAATTCGGCTATGATCGTCGTACAATGGAACAAATTGGTATTCAAACAAATGATTATTATCCAGCATTTGTTCCATTACTTGTTAAAGTATGTTAATACAAAGAAAAGCAAATCAAGATTTATTTTTAATATATTTTTAGTCTTTATATATGATGATTTTTTGTTTAACATTTCGACAATATATAAATGAAAGACGAAGTCTTAATATTCCATCAACTGAAGGTTAGTGATCAATGAGAAATAAATTGAGAGTAATAAAAGAAAAAATTAACTTTTATAGCTATAGAATTAAACATGACGGGTAACAAATAAGAAAAAAAAAATGAAAATATTTAGGTCTATGTGATTTTTCTTTTTGGTGGATTTGCGCTTATGTAAACTAATTTGAATATTTAGAATTTTTTCATCTTTTTTTTCTTTTATAGGTCATCGAGTCAGTATATCAGCTAATTCATATGCTGGACGACTGGGTAAGAAATATTAACTTTTTTTTTCTGTGTTTTAAAAACAAAATTTGGTATGTTGTAGGACGATGGTTTATTAGTTTTTTAACAAAATATTGGATATTTGTTTCATGTGGAATGATTTTACTTGTTAGTATTCGCGGTACTGTAGTGATTTATCGAATAATCTATATGATCTTCTATTTATTCTTCATACTTTCATTTCAAGTAAGAAAATCTTAGTTTTAAGAAATACAAAAAATAAAGTTTTTTATTTGAAGATTTCATTTGGATTTTGGCGAAAAACAGCATCTACGTTTCATTTAACTATTATTATCTATTCAATGATTATTTTAATTGGATTATATATTTATCAAGTAATGTTTTTAAGTAATTTGAATAATATTAAAATAGATTTTTATACTTTAGTTTGAATTAGTTAATGAATTTTTATCAGCTAAACTTAGTAAAGAATTGTAAGTTTTGATTAGAAGAAAAACAAATATTTTCCATTGTCTTTCTTTATCTTTAAAGACTTGCATCAATTGGACTTGAAGTTGTTCCATCAGAAGTTTTGGCTGTTAGATTATTGACACCAAGTGCATTTCTTATTGTTAATATAATGCAACTGTATTATTTTCATGCTGAATGGATGAAATTAATAACAATGCCCAGGTAGTTTTTCTAAATATTTTTCAACATGATTAAACAGTAAATTTCAAATTTTTTAAAATGACTTTATCAATTTAGAGAATTCGGATTAATGTAGAACATAAAAAAATTCGACTTTTTATTAAACAATGCCTAATTAAACAAACGAGCTCGTATAAACAAAACGAAAACCTTTAAACTATTCATGAGGAAAGTCTTCCAACTGATTAATCATTTGACAGTGTGCCTGTTTACGATTTTTTTAAAGTTCAAACCGTTGTCACTTCATGAGTACTGAAAATTTCGCACAGAGAGATAGGCCTTACACAAAATATTTTGTTGTGAAAATGTCAAGTCTCTTGATGTGCTCCTATCCTGAAATAAAAACATCAAATCCACTATTTATGAATGTCTATGAACGATATAACAGACGCAATTTTACAGATCTGTATCTTATGATAGAAACAATGGAAAGATCCGAAATTTTCACAATAAACTATTCTGCTTAAGACCCATCTCTGTAAGAAATTTCAAGTTGAAATTCGAAAATAACTATTTTCAGTGTTGTTGAGAGTGACAGCGGCTCTGATGTAAAGAAAAAACTATATTAAAAATAATAGTAACTCGGTAACAATAAGTTAACAACACGAACTCTTTTCGCAATAGATTCATAATTCATTAAGGTCTGCACGATGCACAAACGATTAATCAGTTGGGAGATTTCATGTGTCAGTATGAAGATTGGTTATAGTTACCAGTGTAGACAGAAAAAGATAAATCGGATCAAAGATTTCTCACATATATTTTTTTGATTCAATTGTTGAGCCTGAAACGAACATCATATACACTCTAGTAACACAATTCGTAATCAGATTTTCTAGTAAGGATTAGTATTCGATAATAAACTCGTCTCTTCTCCAAATTATACAATATCATAATAGAATTTATGTGAAATCAGCAGCTACTATCGGAATTTTAAAAGAAGACCGGTGGAAAAAAAGCTTATAACTTTCGAACAAAAAGTCAAAGCGACCTGCGGTTTTCACCATTCGAAAGAGCAAAGCGGGGCACATGAACCTATGTAAAAGTCGATCTCTTAAACAAGGCATATGTTTGTCACTTTTTAACAATTTGTCGAAAGTAGCTAAAATAAGCTTCAAATTTCAAAACTTCCAATCTCCTTTTTCTCATAAGGAATCCTTTTCTTTCAAACAAGATAACTTCAACATTTTATCTTGTTGAGTTCCAGTGATACAGAGGCACCGTCTACTGTATATCTGATGTTGGAATCAGTTATATTCCGAGGTTAAATATCAAAAATGGATATATTCACTGCAATTTTGTGCCAAATTTGAAAATCTAGGTAACAGGTACTTTTATGAATTGACCCATCGATTTTTACATAGGTTCACGTGCCCCACTTTGCTCTTTCAAATGGTGAAAATCGCAGGTCGCTTTGGCTTTTCGTTGAAAAATTATAAGCTTTTTTCCACCGGTCTTCTTTTAAAATTTCGATAGTAGTACAGTAGTTATAACGATAAATGATTAAATGTGAATAATCATATCCAAATACATAATATAATATCACGATATATATTATAAAAAAAATAAGCAAATGTATAATGATCAGGATCATAACATAAAGACAAAAGTTAAACCAGGTTAAACCATATAAATAAATGGAATACGATGAGGACTAGGAAAAAAACAACTTGACTAGAGGAAAAAAATCTTATCGTGTTCGACGAATTGTGGTCGAAATGGATCACGACGGGTCAACGGCACCAATTGTTAGTCTGTTGTGACTAATTAAAGTTCTTGTCTTTATTTACTATCTTCTTGTTCACAACTACTCTACATAACGAAACAACAAAACTAAACTCCATATCTAGTCACACATAACATAAACAAAACATAAGTACGTAGAGTGTCCAATGGAGAGAAAATAGAGGTAGTGGATAGCAGATAGCGCCACTACCTAACACGGATCACACCTATCACCTGTCTTTCGAAAAGCTCAAAGTCAAGATAAAGCTGTTTCCTGGACAACACTTCGTCGCCAGTGTGTAACTCACTCTTCCTTATAGCCTAGCAGCATCATGTCTGATAGTGATGGAGTTCATTCAGATAAAGGGTGGCCCAGAAGTTCTGACTCGATTTGAATAATAAATTTTTCGATAGTAAAATAAATGGTTGTAAATTTGCGTCTAAGAGGAACAAATGCGGTAAAACACACTCTACGAAATAATTGCTGATTGATTCCGCTAGCTAATATGGTGAGAAAGTTATAAGCTTAGCAATCTTGATCACAAAAAATAAAAATTAACAGTGAACCTTTTAGTACATAAAAAGAGAATAGTAGACTAAATAGAGTAGGGGTGTAGGCCTAGCATCAGTGTTAGAAAAACGCTACCACTTTGTATTAGAATTAAGAAAATATTTTAATGCTTTTGTATTAGTGTTAAAAAAATAGTTCTAATACTGTCGTATTAGTATCGAATGTTAATTAGCATTAAAGTAGCATTATTTAATACATTTTTCATATGCATTAGTATTGAAATCATAATATTTTAATACTAATAATAATTCAAAATTAATTCCAGTCTTAAACTATTTTTTTAACACTAAAGTGAGAGCATTAAATTATTTTCTTAATTCTAATACAAAATCATTAAAAATAGCTTTTATTAATGCAGTGCTAATTCTAAGTCGCCCCCGCTGAAATAGAGCTTGAGCACGCAGCTCACTTGCAAAATCAAATTACATATAAACTTATATAATTAAGTTTATATGTAAAACACATCTACTTTCGAGGAGTAGTTTCGTGGACTCGTTCTTTCTTTGAAAAAAATAAAAGTCGTTGTTCTGAAAGGTTGACTGTTAATTTTGATTATTTTTGATGAAGATTTCTAAGCTTGTAACTTTCTTACTGCATGAGCTAGCGGGATCAATCAGTAGTCATTTTGTAGAGCGTTTTCTACTGCATCTGCTCCCCTTGGAAACAAATTTACAATTATTTATTTTACTATCGAAAAATTTATTATTGAAATCGAGCTAGGATTTCTGAGCCACCTTTTATCTGAATGAATTCCATCACTATCAAACATGGTACTGCTAGGCAATAAGAAAGAATGATATGCACTGGCAACAAAAGATTGCCCAAAAGACAGCTATGTTAGGTTCAGAATATTCCTTTCGACAATTAAAATGGAGAATGGATGTCTTTTGTAGTTCAAATGGTTAGAACGTCTGTCCGAGTAACAGGAAGTTTGTGATTCGAGTCTCATGAAGAGGCTAACATATGCTGCATTCTGTTATCATTCCAGCACGCTACTCCATTCACCTTGGGAATTCTAAGCAGGGGAGCCTCAATCCGACAAAGAGACTGGAGATTGTTTGTTCCCCTGCTTTCTGGGAAAACTTGATTTTTATATGGACAAAATGGCTATTTTGCGTACTGTCCAGAACGCAAAAAAGAAACTAAAGTGAGCTTCTTTAATGGTCCATTTGCTTCTTAGTTTTT